GAAAACCCTAGGGAATCAGTCAGGAAGATGGGTACTGACCCTTCCCTACTTCTGAAGGTGGTTAATTTAGGCACCTATTATTTTTTCAGAAAGGGTATTATATGCCTTATAATGTTTTTTGTGTGTTTATAAAAGTTGTCTACTTGGTTGTCCATGGGTTTGTCAGTGTAAATAAAGAGACAGAGACCCCGAGTCTGCAGCATGCTAATGCAGGAAGCTGGGGTCTTTATGGTGATGTGGAGCAACGGAAAGGCACTTGACATTTGTACTTGGGCCTCAGAGGACAGATTTCCCTCTCACTGACTACCACACAATTTCTAGGAGACCTCTGCATTATAACTTCAGAGGAGGAAGAGAGCAGAAGGCAAAGAAAGAAGCAGCATAAGAAAAAAGAAAATGGGATGGACAGTGTCATCTCTATTTAGCTAAATCCCGAAGCCTGAGTTCTGTGTATCTTGGGATCCTGAATGAAATGCCTTGTTCACAGCTTCCTTAACCATGAAATGGGGATAACACCAATCTCACAGGACAGGGATACCATCAGGGTTCATTGAGTTACTTGCAGAGTTTGACATCCTTTTACTTCAACTTCACAAACCAGAGTACCAGTAACTACAGTTTTCTCCCCCTGAAAAGCATGATCTCAGCACTAGGATAGTATTTCCAGAGCCTTTGTCAGTATGGGGGCCTCTGACTTCTGAATTACTGTAAATAGCCAAATTAAGCTGCCTATAACAATCCAGTGCAACTCATACTCAGCTCTAAACAGGATGTCTCCATCAAATCCTTCCCCTCAGGGCTCAGGGAACCCCAGAGAAGAGGAGGCAGAAAGAGTGTAGGAGGCAGAGGGAGAGAGGACACCAAGAAAACAAGGAAGTCTAAATCAACATGAGCAAAGCTCATATGAACTCAGAGACTGAGGCAACATGCACAGGGCCTGCATGGGTCTGCACCAGGTCTTCTGCATATATATTATTTCTTCCGAGTTAGTGTTTTTATGGGATTCCTGAGTGTGTGAACAAATGGGTCTTTGATTCTTGTGCCTTCTCTTGGGCTCTTTTCCTCCTGTTCATTTTTGTGAAAATTAAATTACATTTAAAGTTTATACTTACTATGTTTGAGAGACCAAAAAGCAAAAAGTTCCTCAAACATGCAAGCCCCTAGCTTGTACAAGCTATGCCCTAGCAGCTCACCCTCCACCCCCATTTTTCCAAGACATTGAAGACTGTTCTTAAATTGACTGATCCTGTAAAATCTGCTGTTCTAGCAAGACAATAGGCCATAGGACTAACTACTATTTCTGGTTTTGTAATCAGACTTGTTTACTCTGCACAATGACTGGGACAACTGCAAGATATATGTGTTAAAATTAGACCATGCCGCCGGGCGTTGGTGGCGCACGCCTTTAATCCCAGCACTCGGGAGGCAGAGCCAGGCGGATCTCTGTGAGTTCGAGGCCAGCCTG